CACAGGAAAGTGGACGCTCAGGACAAGACAATAGACAAGATTCTACAAATGCTACAATGTATGCGTGTAGGTGACCCAGTATTTGAAGAATTCATATCTGTGCCACAAAGTCTGTCAGTTGGATTAAGTAGAGATCCCAAGCCGGTAGCCGGGCCGTCTAGACAAACAGACTTCTGTATTATTTGTGCAAGCTCAGCACACTCTAAAATGGACTGTTTTATATACAGTAGCAACAAATGTGATCGATGCGGAGCAGTGGGACACACTGAGCGGCTACATGAGTTAACTGACAGTGCACTCAGGAGCAAAGTGATCAGCTAACAAGGATGGGATTCGTTCAAGCATTTTTATGAATAATTATGGGATTCGTTCAAGCATTTTTATGAATAATTATGATTTTATAACCCAAATTTTATGTGGTTTCTATGTATTGGAAATTATACAATAAAATATGTTTCAAAACACATAACAAGGACTAGTTAGACAAATATTATTGATGTGTTAAAACACGAATCAAATAGATAATTAGTTAGAAACAAGGATCAGATAATGATGATTGCTGTGTCATAGGTACACATGCTAGTTGAAGTATTAAGACAATGTTTTAAAGACACAAATCAAATAGATAAGTATCTCAAAACAGGGATCAATTAGACAAGGATAATTGTTGTGGCATGGGTACATGTGCTAGCTGAAGATTCAATCCTTTTCTTTTTCGGCTATTCATTCATTACTCATACATCCATCACTCAACAATTCATTATTTGGATATTCGGTTTTTCCGAGTTTTCTTCTATTCATTCACTAGCATTAATTTATTATTCATTCATTCATCCTTCATTGGTTCCTGATTATCCTGTCAATCTTTAATTAGTTATTATTCCTTATTCATCATATGTTTTATGCAATCATTCATTTCCTCATACACTAGCGGCAATTATTCATTCATTCATCTCTCATTGGTTCCTGATCATCAGTTTTGATGATTGTTCAGTGTTCATTATGGTCACTTGTTGATTCATTTTCAATCGTCTACTCAACTGGGTGGTATTCTTTAAGCATAGGTTCAATTACCTATAAGAATAGATCATAATGCTTATGATTTTTTCAGATCTTAACCTAAGTGAATAAGTGATCCTAAAAGAATATGAAACAATGATGTATTTCTAGTGAATAGGTGAACTCAAAAAACTGTGGAACAATACAGTGTGTAGGTATCAAGCTTATGATAAGAATGCTAGGCATGTAATGATGCAGTGCTAGAAATCCGCCGGTACTGGAAAACATGAGGCAACATAGTGCCTCCAGGCCAAAGGCTTGGAGGCTAAAAAAGAAAACAGCATTGCCAGAGGCAACAACTCCGCTAAAGTTATGCTATTGGAACTGCTATTGGTTATGGTGTGTCCTAAAGCAACAACAAATTGCGGAAGTGATGGAGGGAGAACAAATAGACCTAATATTTGTGGATGAGACCCACTTTCGCTTCGGTGCAAATAATGACCTGAGTGCTTTTAGCCCTTGGACCCAGTATTACAGATAGCACAATTACGGGGATAAAAATGGTGGAGGAAAAATGGTTCTGGTTTCAGACAGGATTGTCCACTCACCTTGGTCTCCAGAGAATACAGAACCCTGGGTGGAGAACAAAAGGACATGGATCATAATCCATAACCTTCATTTAGCCATATGTTTGGTGTATATGGCGGCAGAAGTGGCCGGCGGCATGACATATAAAGATTGGAATAGGGAGCTGTACAGGTGTATAGGAAATGAAATCTCCAGTCTGGAGCAGGATGGATATGGATGTGTTGATATTGGTGACTTCAACGCACATATAGGAGACACTCCGGAGGGGATACCCAGAAATAGGCCAGGAGTAAACAGTAATGGACGATTACTATTAGATTTTGCTACTGAACATGGGTTAGTAATACTGAATAGGGACTGGGACTTATGTGAAGGTCTGTTCTCACGAATCACACCCACTTCCAGCACAATTCTAGACTACGCACTAGTATCAAAGGCTGTGCAGCCGGGGGTATTGAGGATGTGCATTGATGATGATGTGGAGCTACTCGCGGGTAGTGACCACGTTGCCTTACGCCGCGATATAAACATGTCAGGTTCGGACCCTGTACCAAATGCCAGGCCACACAGTCTGGTACATCTACCAAAGAATAGGGACAAGTTCCTCGCAACAGACTTGATGGACGAGTTGCTCGGTAAGGTGAACTGGGCCAAATGTTCAACCGCGGAGAAGTTGGAAAACCTACAAAAATTCTGATTAGAGCTAATTGTGAGGCATACCAGCAGTCTAGTTGGCAGAAACGTAGAGTCAGACGGGTGCCAAGAAGTATCAAGAAACTTAATGCCATGAAGAAAGAGGCGGACCGGAAACAACGCAGACTATCTATCCAACGTACCCCAAGATTACTTTATGGAGAAGCCTGGATGGCAGATGACCAATCACAGCTGGGTGAGGCTGTATCAGGATACCAGGAAATGGTCACAGAAATTAAAAGGAGATCAAGTCTGATCAAGCTGGACAAGAGAGCATGGATGAGAGCACAGCTGGATACCAATAACAGACAATTCTGGTCACTCTATGAGAGGACTCAAAAAAAGAAAGGGAAACTAACAGCACTTAAGGATGCTGACGGAGAACTGCTAACACATATAAGGAAGATTGAGAATTTTGCACTAAACCTCTTGGCAATGCAGTTCTGCAGCATGCGCTCCCCAATCTTTGAATCCAGAGGAGAACAGGTTATAAGGCAAATAAGAGTTGCCGAAGCTTCAAATTACGAAGAATGGATTCCAAAGGAGCGTGAGGAGACAATGTGCGAATCAGATGTGTGTAAGCCAGCGATAATAGCGGAAATAACAGATCTAATAAATTCACATAAGTCGGACAGAGCGCCAGGTGTGGACGGTGTCCAAGCTCAGATGCTCAGATCCAAACATTTACAGGAGTGATAAACAAAATCCTAGAGTCTGGTGAAGTGCCTTCTGTTCTCTTGACCTGTAAAATTACCTTGATTGACAAGAAGAAACCTTCATTGGAGGTGAGTGAGAAGCGGCCACTGACAGTTCCAAACTTATTCCTTAGTGTACTAACGAAACTCCTCCATAAACGGATGGATCCTTTCTGTGAAGAGGAGGGTTTTTATGGAACAGTGCAGTATGGATTTCGGTCAGGCCGCAGCACGCCAGACTGCGTCTTTGCAATCCTGGCAGTCATTCGAGAAGCTAAATGACAACACAGGTCGATCTCAATCGCCTTTTGTGATCTGGCGAAAGCTTACGACTCAATATGCAGAGAACTCCTGTACGTTAAACTAAGTCAGATAGGGTTTGGAAGAAAAGTGTTGTCATTGATACAATTGATGTATTGTAACGACAATATCCAATTAACACTCCCAACACGTTTGTCTGCACCAATCTGGTTTACAAAGGGTGTGAAGCAAGGATGCTCCCTCTCACCAATGCTCTTCGCACTCTATGTCTAAGGGTTGGGGGAGGCACTGCGTAATTCTAAACTGGGTTTCAGAATGGGCGAAGTTGTGTTGACAGCCATATTTTTCGCAGATGACCTGGTACTGATAGCCGGGTCCCCCATACATGTAATGGACAGGTTGCATGAGATTGTGGCTTGGTTCTGCAAAGACATGTACATGAAGTTGGCGGTCTGGAAAACTTTTATCCTGACCAACTCCGCTTACCCCGTTGTTTGGTCAGTTGACGATCAAACAATTGAAGTGATGTTAGCAAAATACCTAAGAGTAAACATGCAGATCCGTGGCAGGAACAGGGTGGGTCAATATGAGGCAGTTATGCTGAAACGCGCAACCGGTTGCACCATGTCTATCATGAACCTGACATGTGCCAGTCTTGACAGGCTCTAATAGCCAAGAGGCTGTGGGAGTGCTGCGCCATCCAATCAATCTTGTACTGTACTGAGGTACTAGTCATATCTAAGAAAACAGTTGAGGAGCTGGAGCGCGTACAGAATATGGTTGGTCGTTTCATTCTCCAGGTTCCCAGCTCGTCGTCAAGAGTGCTGGCATGGATGGACGCAGGACTAGTCCCTATGCAGGACAGAATACAAGCCAAACAGGCAAACTATATCTGGACAGCTGTCAAATCCAGAAACACCCAACTGTAATGGGAAGATGAGGAAAGTTGTGACCGTAACCAGAGATGAAATAGATAATTAGATATTCAAAGAGTTTCCAAAAATTGGAGCTGTCTCAGGCGGACCACCTGGTTTTTAGAGAGTTTCCAAAATTGGAGCTGTCTTGGGCGGACCCGCCTGGTTTTTAGAGAGTTTCCAAAATGGAGCTGTCTTGGGCGGACTGCCTGGTATGTAGAGTTTCCAGAAATGGTACTGTCTTGGGTAGATCGCCTGGTAATTAGAGAGTCCCAGAAATGGAGCTGTCTTGGGTGGATCGCCTAGTAACTGGAGAGTCTCCAAACTGGAGCTGTCCTGGGCGGATGGCCTAGTTTAAGTCTTATCCCCAGGGTGTAAACCCCGTGGATATGTTGTTCCGGGGGTTAGGAGCACCGACCCCTATTTCATTGAATGATGGGTTGTCCTTTAATAATAATAATAATAAGATGTTATTTTAAGGGATGGTCTGTCGAGTATTTACCCTTATGACGTAGATATCCTTTATCTTATAGCAGAAAATTTAGTGCCAAGAGACTCAAGGTGTCCAGGTACTAAATTTCCAGATATAAAAATTAGAATTTTTCCATAATTCTTGATAAGAATAAGGTACCGTTTTCATGAATATCAAGAAAAATATCTAAAAGGTGATCCCACTCAAACAATTTTTTGGTAAAAAAAACAACATCATCTCTCATTTTAATTCAGAAAAAAAATTAAAGGGAACTGATGATAATCATTAATCAAGCAGTAAGTTTTTACATGAAGAACAGTAAAGATAATATCTTAATATTATATCTATTTAATGTTAAACTCGACTCCTGACCCCTACCTGGGCAGAAAACACCTCTTTTATTCCCTCCTTCTCCAACTGTTGCCTAAACAAAGAATTTTTTTTGTCAAGAAAATCTTTAAGGTAACCTTGAACAATTAAAACACTCCAGAAAACCTTTAAACAAGGAAATATTTAAACGAGAAAATTTTTCATCAAGAAAATCTATAGCATTGAAATCTTTAGTCAAGAAAATCTTCAGTCAAGTAAATCTTGAGTCAAGAAAATCTTTAGTCAAAGAAGTCTGAAGTCAAGGAAATCTTTAGTCAAGGAAATCTTTAGCCAAGGAAATCTTTGGTTAAGCAAATCTTAAGTCAAGGAAATCTTTGAGTCAAGTCAAGAAAATTTTTAATCAAAGGACATCTTGAGTCAAGGAAGTCTTTAGTCAAGGAATTCTTAAATCAGGAAATCTTAAATCCAGGAAATCTTGAGTCAAGGTAATCTTAAATCCAGGAAATCTGAAATCCAGGAAATCTTTAGTCAAGAAAATCTTTAATTAAGGCAATCTTTAGTCAAGGAAATCTTTAATCAAGGTAATTTTTAGTCAAGGTAATCTTTAATCAATTAATTTTTTAATAGCCATCCCTAGTTCAACTAACATTGAATCGAAACCTCTGGATAAATAGAAAATAAGTTGAAATTTATTTAAATCCTAAATATTTAAATCATTTGAGAAAGGCTTATCTTCTATAATTTAGTATTAAGTTGTTGAATATTCTGTTCTCTAGTATCTGATTAATTTCCTAGTTTGGTAGATGTGTTTTCACAAACCTCAAACTTAGATGGATTTGGGAGAAATCACTCTCAAGCATCCAGATACAAACCCCAGATATATACTAGGATTCTCCAAGATATTTACTGGGATTCTCACAGATATAAACTAGGATTCTCCCAGATATATACTAGGATTCTCCAAGATATTTACTGGGATTCTCACAGATATAAACTAGGATTCTCCCAGATATATACTAGGATTCTCCAAGATATTTACTGGGATTCTCTCAGATATAAACTAGGATTCTCCCAGATATATACTAGGATTCTCACAGGTATAAACTAGGATTCTCCAAGATATTTACTAGGATTCTCCCAGATATAAACTAGGATTCTACCAGATATAAACTAGGATTCTCACAGGTATAACCTAGGATTCTCACAGGTGTAAACTAGGATTCTCACAGGTATAAACTAGGATAAACTAGGATTCTCCAAGATATTTACTAGGATTCTCCCAGATATAAACTAGGATTCTCCCAGATATAAACTAGGATTCTCACAGGTATAAACTAGGATTCTCACAGGTATAAACTAGGATTCTCACAGGTACAAACTAGGATAAACTAGGATTCTCCAAAATATTTACTAGGATTCTCCCAGATATAAACTAGAATTCTCCCTGATATAAACTAGGATTCTCCCAGATATAAACTATGATTCATGCAGGTATAAACTAGGATTCTCCCAGAAATGAACTAGAATTCTCACATATATAACCTAGGATTCTCCCGGATATAAACTAGGATTCTCCCAAATATTAGATTCTCACATATTTAAAAATAAGCTCTGCAGTTCCTTAGATTTTGAAGCTCGCAAATCCTTTTTTTTTAATAAAAACATGTTTTTCTCTCAACTTGTCTCATTAACCACACATACTGGAAGTTTTTATACCTAGCTGGCATCAGATCATCTCCTGTAACCTGAGCAATATTCATCTCTACACCAGCTTTCTAGGAATAAGATTTAATTAAAGGGACTGTGCTCGTATTTCAAGTTGCTCTCTATTATAGAATGGCATGCCCGATGCTTCACCGCAGTACCCTTTAAACCTTTATCTGATCAATAATGTGGAAGATATTGTCGTTTTTCTAGCTTGAAAAGTGTTTAATTCTCACAGTTTCGTCATTTGTTTCTGAAAGAAGAATGCACAAGCAAATAATCAATTTTCAAATAATCAATTTTTTAAAAAGAAGATTTCTTATGCACTCCTGATCAGACAATGCATTTAACGGTACCGTTGAAAATCAGAGATGCCACTCTTTAAATGAATAGTCATTTAAAATAATGTCTACGGTCCTTTTAAACGGAGTATATGTCTGTTTGTCCAATAGACGTGAAAACAGCTGAACTGATTGGGCCCAAATTTTGTGTAGGACCTAAAATGACCCAAGGGAAGGTATATGGATGCTCAAAAATTGTTTCCTAAAGTTTTTGATTTTCGTAAAAGGGGATGGTGGAGTTGGCACATTTGATGTAGGGGGGGGGGGCCCTGCCTTCATTTTTGGTTCAAATCTTCCAATTTTTTGGGTGCGCGCCTAATTAGGGTTCGAAATTCCTATAATAAAATAAAATTGAACTTTAATGACCTCTAATGACCTCTAATGACCTCTAATGACCTCCACCAATAGAAAATATTTCAACTATGGCTTAATGCATATCAAACGAAAGCTGGGAACCCAGGGAATCCAGTAGCAGCAACAAATCCAGTGTTTGACCTTCTAATGACCTCTTACGACCTCTAATGACC